CCACCATGCAGAAGCTGGATAATGGGGCAGCAGTTATCCATTCTATGTGGGGAACGAATTCAGTCCCTCGGGGTACAAAAGCACAGCGATGGGTTTTTTTTTATTTTACTCTGGGGAAACTAAAGACATGCATAGTTTTAGCTTTATATTACTTTCCAAAGAAATACCAGTGTTGCAACTTTAAAACAGGAAAAAGGAAAACAAGCACCTTGCAAACTTATTTTGCAGCATATTCTTATAGGTTACAAACCATAGTCCAGTCTACTGTTGAAAACAATGAAACTGAAATAGTTAGCATAACCTACATATTTAGAATGAAAACTCAGAGTTGAGGGTAAAAATGTATCATTTTATAAAATATCAAAATGAAGGCTCATCTAGTTTTCATTTTGTAGAAAACCTTTGAACACCAAAGACCTTAGAGTTTCTAAATACAGCAGGGGGGTTAATATTCAGTCTTATACAAAAGACAATTTCCTTTCCTGATAGTATCAGCCTTTTACTATTGATATATCTTAAATTTAAAACCCACGGGAATTAGAACATAATCTCTTGCAAATGCACATAAATCAATCATACTTGTAAGCCCTTTTCTATTAACATGCAATTATCTATAAATTATTCTAAGTGAACACAGAATAATCAAAGAATATGTACAAATATACAAAACATACACTATGCATGGTGTTTAGTTATGAATTAAGTCCATTCATTTCTAAACCAAAGATCTACTGCTCCTTTTTCATGGGACGCTTAGGCTTTGAGGACTTCTTTGGTCCTTGAAAGACAGGGAGATCATGAATCCAGGGAGATTTCATGAGTGTGAGTCACAGGGAAGTTAACACAGTTAAGGTGGAAGGAAGGAGGTCCAGACTTGAGAGGTCAAAGGCCCTGCCCAGGCACTGACCCAAAGACTTACTGATATTGCCTAAACTTAAAGGATCGAGCTCTAATCACCCCATGAAAAGGAAGAGAGGGGGACCAATACAGCCCACCTCCCCAAATACACCTTTAAAGAGGGTTACAGAGAACACAGTGGCCAAGCCCATGGCACTGAGAGAGGGTGAAGGGGGCATCAGAGAGCAAAGCCTCCACAGCCAAGAGGCTCTGAGAGAAGTCCGTGCAGTTCTTCGTGTCCTATTTACTCCATTTCTGCCCCAACCCACAGGGCCCTTAAGTATTTCTATGCCAAAACTCTGACCCTGGTTTTCCTTTTCTTTTTTACCCTATGCATGCATCTCAAGGAAGGCACTGCTGGCCTTCTGGAGGGGCAATTCACGCTTGTGTGGGACTGCTGTACCTACTGCAGGGTGTATGCCACTGCTGTCCCCCACCTACTAATGCCAGTAGAACCCCCAACTCACTGGGGGCAACCAAATATGCACTTCCCAATGCCCCTAGGTTGTAAATATGGCTACCGCCCCTTAAAAACCATTGCTACAAGCTCTAGCATCTCACGGAAACCCAGTGTTGAGAACCACCCCTATGACTCAAACCTACATCTCTAGTCAAGGTTTTTCTCGAGTTCTTATCTGTTTTTCCCCTTTACTAGACAGATTCCCCTCAGGCTTCACGCTCACTTCAAACCCGCCCCAAACTGAATTTCTTATCTCCCTCAGGAAGCCCCAACCTGTTTCTCTTCTATCTTGGCCAATACAACCACCATCCACAGTTAACAAGGCAGAAACCTGGCAGGCAGACAAAACTCCTCCCTCTTTCTCATGAAGTCCTCAAGAGTCTATATTCTAAATATCCCTCAAGTCCTTTCTTTTCAGTGCCCTATCTGGTTCCCATCATCTCTGGCTGTGTTACTGGAATGGCCTCTAATCTTTCACCATCTTCATATCCTCTCTAATGCAAAAACCATAGAGTTACCTCCCAGGCCACCACATCAGTCCCCTACTTAATGCTCAATGTTCCCACACAGGGTCCTTAAGCCCATAACCGCCAGCCTGACCCAACAGACCTGCCCATTTCTGGAGACGTGTCCTGCAGTAGGACGCCTCTGCACACACGCTGTGGATGTTCCACTGCCACCACTGGCCCCTGGGGACCAAGAGCCACTGGGCAGATGCCACCAGCTGAAAGGTTCTAGAACCCAGGCACCTTGCAGAATAGGAGGTTCCATAGTATTGACTGAAGTGAGCAATTCTTTTTAAAGAAGAAAAGAATTTTGTAGGTACATGTCACTAAAACACACACACACACACACACACACACACACACACACACACTCACTGGCAGAATCAGAATGACCTTGTCCCTGTCATCTTCCAGAAAAGGGCTTCTTGGTGTTATTTATGGGCAGTTAGGAACCTGAACCACCATAAAGGGGACCAGATGCCACACTCTTAAGTTGAATGTTGAGCATGCTCTGACCTCACCCTGCACAAAATATCCTAGCACCTACAGCTACCATTTCTCATTGGGTAAAAGTAAAATAGCACTTAACAAGGCCATGCTTAATCAGTACTACCCAATTCAGACACTGACCATTTGTTTTAGTCAAGATTTCGTTTGACATTTTCTTAGGACTGGAAACTCTGTCCTGGGCAGCACATTAAATAGTTATCTCTTGAGAGTCACTCTTGGAGACCAAACGCTGGAAATTCAACAAATAGGCATTACCTAATAAATGGGCTTTGCCAACACTCTGAGCACTTTAAATGTTTAAAAGGCTGCATCTGAGTGTTTCAGATACATAAATGGGTTTTCAAACTGAATTAAATAAACGTGTGTACCATGTTATTATAAAGCAGACACAGTATTATCATGAAGAAGCAGATTCTAGTTGAAATAGAACAGAGATCAAGTATCACATAGGCAGCTATCCAAATTACAACATTGCATTTCAAGTAAAAAAACAAAACATAAATGTAAAGAAAAGGATATTTCTTTTCTTGATCTTTTAATAGAGGCTGAGACGTTTCTGAGTGTTGCTTTTAATTTTAAAAAAAAGCAGAAAAAAATGGTCCAGAATAGTCCCTAGAAGCTGCTACAGAAATGAAAATTTTTTAACAAAATCATAAAAGATTTAAATGTTGTAAATGATTAAAATAAAAATAAAATTTAAATCTATTAACTTAAATGAAATGACTTATTTCAGGGGTAACCAATGATGAATTTTTTTGTACCCCTTTTATAGATAAGAAGTGATCTGGAGCGGCTGCAACCTGCTCAAGGGTAACCAATCATCAAAAGGAGAAGTGACTGCTAAAGCCCAGGCTCCTTCTGAACCATACTAACACATGGCAGCACCATCAGGCCAAAGACTTAAGGACTCCAAGCATCCTCAGGTCAAGAAGAACTGTTGTTACTCAATAATCAGAATTTACTAAAAGTTTTCTCTGGAGTCATTTAGACACCGAGAGAAGCTGACTGACCACCACAGGATTCAAAGCAGAATTCCAAGGTGGAGTAAAAACGTGTCACCAGGGTTTTCAGAAAACATACTCTATTCTAAAATCATGACTTACAATTTACAGTTATCCAAACAGTAATAATTCTTCATAATGATGCAGCTAATTTGGAGCTCTGTTTTTGTTCAACTGAAGTTCAAGTTAAAATGAGAGACTCACTTTGAAATCTAAATACCTTTCTAACAGGGACACACCATGTAAGGCTCTTATTCTGCCCTCTTCACTGAAGGAAGAAAAGAAATCTTCACTTCTCTTACCAAAAGTGGCAAGAGTGGTACCAAGAGCACCAATGGGATGACCACAAGCAACAACCCAGCTTCTGAAAGAGGAATTCCCGGCTGTGGTACACACCACCGCCTGCACACCCAGCCCAGTGTTCTCTCGGGCCCAGCAGCCCCTGAACATGTATTTTAAGTACCACGTCGATAACCCGATTGCCAGGATCTTTCCTTGAACCAGAATCTGGCTTCTGAAGTTGTACCACTATCATGAACTATTCGGAGATCTCAGTGATCTGACCACAAAGTCCATCTGTCTGAGGTAGCCCCAACTCACATGCTGATCTGTTCAGCCTGGATTTTCAATCTTGTAGCTCAAAAGACAAGCGCACCTGCACACAGTGACGGAGCCAGCACACACACGGGAGCGTGTTATCATTCCTGTCTGGTTGGCTCCGCCCTGGAGTGACAAAAGGGCAATGTCCAGATTTGCAAGAAACACAGCAGGGACGGCTCCAGTTTTCGTGCGCCCCGAAGACTGTACAATTTGTAGGCCTTCCATTTGCAAAAAAAATATGGCACAGAGCAAATATTTAACAGGTGCCCTTATAAGTAAGAAGCCTCTAAGCTTAAGCTTTATTGGTTGTACAGTAAACCCAACTTTGACCCAACCACATAAAACTGCCAATATTCAACCCATTTTGACCTCCCCAAATAGCAGCTTCCTATGGTTCACTTTTGCACACTTCTGGCACATGGCTGCAGCCCAGGCTGTGTAGTTCGCTGAGAAGCACGTACGAGCTCCCCACCAGTACACCAACTGAGCTCCTGCACTTTTAAAAATGATAGTGAAACCTCTTCCAATGGTGCTTCTGAAATGTTAAACATGGAAAACCTATAGAAATCATTATGGTCACTGTAAGTGCACTTCAAAGATAATACTTCTATGAACAAAATAATAATATATGAACAAAGACAACATGAAAATGTGAACAAAAATAATTTTTGTATTTGCATGGTACGATTGTGTTACTTTTTTCCTTTCCCAGCTAAGCGTTATTATATTATTGGCGTGACTAAAAAGAAAGAATAAAAGGGAAAGAGTGAGAAGTGATGTGATGGAAGAAAAGGGACAAGAGACCTTAGATAGAACAGTCTGCTGTGACAATCATGTACACAGTTAGCATCTGCCTACATATCAACAACCTGAAACACATCTTAAAATGTATCCCAAAGAATAAAGATAAAAGCCAACTGAGTAAGTGAGATTTCATACCTCCAAACGTCTTCCTTCTGAGATAACACAGATGTCTGCTACTAAGCAATGTCTTGGCATGACCAAAGGCAAACTAAGGGAACTTACTTTTTGCTTGCCTCGCAGACGTCTGTAATATTGGAGAAAAGATGGTGACTCTCTGTTTTGGTCATTGTATCGCTCAGCTCTTTAGAATTTTTAAACATTCGTATCAAGATCTCCAAGCTGAGTAAATATGAATGTTCAGAGGATATAACTTCAAAGATAGCCTGGTAAGGAGGAAAAACAAATGTATCATTAATTCTATTAATTAAGAGCTTAACATAGCTCCCATTATTCTGCTATAAGGATGATATAATATCTTGAAAAGTATAAAAAGACAAGCATTCAGAAAACTGTATCACCAAACTACTGTCTTTATATAAGGCACTTATGCCCAAATCTTGAGAAAGAAAGTCACTGCCCATAGTGTAAATAGGAAAAAATGAAATCATTTGGATGAATTGCAATTGCATCCTGAGGTTACACTTTGCCAAGGGGTAGGATCTATGTTAGGAAGCTAGGGCATATGATGAAATCTCAGGGTGACACTAATTAACCTTTGGAGTCATCTCCTCCAGACCTGCTTTCAAAGCGTGCTGCAATGGGACAGTAAAGATTTAAGGACATCATTTAGGATTCAGAGAAAATTTTTCACAAATACAGTCCTTAACTCCATCTCTGTGAGCCCTTTCTCTCCCTATGTTTTAATCTGAATAATCTGCAATCAATAACAGCAAACATTCTGGGTGTGTTAAGAGAGCATGACTGACTGTACCTACTCTCAAAAGCTCTTATCAGCCACAGGAATTCTTTTATATCAACTCATACATATTGAAAGCAATTGTGTCTGCTCAACGAGCCACCACCTCTGCTCTTGTCAGTGTCTCAAGAAGGAGCGAAGGACCCTCTGCAGAAACTCTTGGTGTCAGACAGACCACGGTTTTCCTGATAAGTGTTCATTAATGATGAAATGCCAACCCACATAGGTGGATGGACACCAACACCCTGTGTAAGGAATTCATCTAGCTCCTTCACAAAACCAACTTCAGATCCTACAAGAATGGCAACACGGAAAATTCCTTCTCAGGGAGGTGTGGCCTGAGATTCACATCCTTCCTGGAGACCTCCCTAGTAGCACTGCCATCATCACCTTGCCCTCCAGGGCTCCTCCCTGCAAGCTCTTGGCTCAGAAGATTCTTCCCAGAATTCCCTGTGCTGCCACCAAGGCTGGGGGGGAGCAGGGCAGGCTGGGCAGGTAGACGCCCAGCTGCTGGTGAGCAGGCCATATATGTAAATCAGATTAGTGGTGCCAGTCTCCATATGCACCTCCCTTTATAGCAACCATAAGATTTAGGGAAGTCTGACTTACATGTGCTGGTCTAGCCTTGGTTGTGCTCGGGGATTTAAGTGATATAACATTCTAAAGAGTAAGAACATTAACTGTCTCACTTAAGCTGTATCTTATGTAATTCTCCTACACAATTATCAATCCATCAGTATGATTATCCGCAGGAAATGTGACGCCAACTACAGAAAATTGTCACTTTCTAGCCAAAAGGAATGGATTTCAGGTTGTTGATGGATATGGTACTTTGGAATGACTTAAAATATTTTCAGAAGTAAAGGCTTTTATAGTCAAATCCAAAATACTAAGATTCAATCAACAAGATATAATGAACTACACAGAATAAGTCACAAGAAAAGATGAATAAGCGGTACTTTAATATAATAGGGTCAATGTAATAATTGTTAAAACACCGGCAACAGAGCTATCAACTAGTTACAAGCAAATAAGGTTACACCTGCTAAAAACAGCTATGTAGGAATAGAAAGAAACCATAAAGTTACATTTGCTGCTGTCCCTACTTTTTTTTAATGTCATGAATCTGAATAAATGTTTTCAAAATACAAGGGAAATAGAATAGCTTCAAATAGAGAAAGTTTAAAAGAACAGAAACGTCCAAATGAAATTAGGACTCTGGAGAAGCTCTTGAATTTGTCCACAAGGAGAGAGAAACATTGTTTATACCACAATGTTAACAATAAAGAAAAAAAAAAATCACCAACTGTCCATCACTTGGAAAACAGATTTTTAAAAGGTGGTATTTATAGAATGGAATACTACATAGTGTTCTGAATGAATGATCTAGATTAATATGCATTAACACAGATGAATCTCAAAAACAATATTGAATGTAAAAAGTAATCAAAAAATGTTCAGAACTGTATCATTTATCTACATTTTAACACACACACAAGTACATGTATATAAACCTATGTAATACATGATTTAAAAACACAGATTGGATGGATATACATTAATTCATCATTATAGTTGCCTTAGGTTGAGAAGAAGGGAATGGAACTGAGAAGGAGCATATAGGACTTCTACTTTATTGAAAGTCTTATTTTCTTTACTTTAAAAAAAAATAAGAAAAAAATTATAAATGCCATACATTTTCTAATTCTCAGTGATGGGTATACCAACGTTATATGCTATTCTTTTTAAAAAAAACTTTAAAATGGCACTATAACGTGCCCTTATATTTTTGCATTACTCCATGCCAATGAAATAAGAAAAGGACACCTCGTGACCTCTGTGGAATTGACTTATATGAGTGTATATGCATAAACTTATACATCTCCATAATAATATGCATAGCACAGGAGGAAAATGCTTTGACACCTTCACAATATTATCACAATGAGCAATTTCCTTAAATTGCAGTTATTTAAACTTTAAGTTGTGAAACTCTAGTGTTATATTTTTTATTAAGTCAAGTTTTATTTTGGTATAATTTTAGATTTACAGAAATCTCACAAAGAGGGCTCAGAAGTCCTGTGCTTCCTTCACCCAGCTTCCCCTAACCAGGATACATTACATTTTGTCTATAGACAAATGTACATACTTTACTCAGATTTCACCAGTTTTTCCGCTAATGTCCTTTTTCAGTTCCGGGGCTGAATGTCTGTTTCAGTTCTCAATGTATTTCTTCCAGTTTAAACACCTGGACTAGGTGCTTTGTTTTTAAGTTAATGTTGGGATGTTTTAAAATACTCTTTTCTGGGGGCTCATGTGTAGTTTTATTTGATAATGATCACATATATCTTTTGTTAAAAGAACTCATTTTATTCTTTCTATACATGTATTCATTTTATACATTTGCAAAGGAAAACACCTGAGCAAGTACACACAGTAGGCAAAAAAACCAGGCACACTTAAGAGCTCTAAAGCATCTGCTTATAGAAAACATACCTCTTGTCTCTTTCTTTCCTCCTGGCTAACTGTCTGAGATAATCCATTTCTTTTCACCTGAGGGGAAAAAAAGAGTTTTGAGCTCATTCACTTCAATAATTTCTTTATTATGTAAGGTATAACTATGCCTTTCAAAAATGAATTAAGAGAAATTTATGTACAATGTTGAATTCAGTACATGTGCACTTTTGGGTCTCATACCCCCAAGTAGTATTGAAATCACAATTCTATGTCAATTTTCCCCAAAAATATGTTTTTAAATGTGAAATTCCCTGTGACCACTGAGCTTTGAATATAAAAGAATTCTCATGGATTATATAACAACCACAAATATCATTAATAACCTATGATCAAAACAACATAATTACTTCCAATTTTAATTCATTTAGCCTTAAGAATAAAATGTTACTGAGAATGCAACTGTTAAAAAATGAGGGAGTTACGGTGGTTTAATTAAATGATGCTTCACTGAAAATATTTCACACTGACCCCCTTTTATTTTATGCCCCAGTGATCTGACACCTTGGCGCCCACATCCTAGTAAGAGTTGAGATGAGCAAGAGAGATGCCTTTCCTTAGTAAAATGGAAAAAGGGCAAACGTGAAAGGGGAGGCTGGAAAAAAGACCTGACTTAGCCCTTTAACTGCAGATACAGGCCTCAGTTTTAGAAAGGGGAATAACTAGAAGTTGAGGATCTGGAAAACAGTAGCCTTCGAACAATTCCTGTCCACCTTGCATAGTGTTCATAAATCCCAGGGGTGTGACACATACCCCAGTGTGAAGATGGCTGTGCACACTGCTCTACCTTTTGTGTCACAGAAACCAAGGCAACTACATGTTACTGTCTTTAATTTAACTTTTGGAAAAAGTTAGAAAGCAGTATAAAAACAGAGTCCTAAACCAATATTAATATGAACCATCATTTACTGAATATTTACTGTATACCAGGACATGAGCTAAGCATTTTACACCAGTTTCCCACTGAATCCTCATAAAAATTCTAGAAAGCTGATACTATTCTTGTACCTATTTCACAGATAACAACTGAGGCTGAGGATCCAAGAACACACAGCTAAGTAGGCAGCAAAGCCGGAACCAGCATCCATGCCTGTCCAACTCCAGGGCTCACGCTCTTCATCAGGATATCATACGGGTTAGGGACTCCCTTTCCCCCCCTCTATTTCTAGGGTTGGGTGAGATCTCTTTTAATGCCAGGTCTCTGTACCAAGTCTGCATATGTTTTATTTCAGCCACCCATATTGTGGAATGTTCTTAGCTTTACCACCATCCTGACCCTGGGTCTGCGTGTCAGCAAGAATTCATGGCTAAAAAGGCTCCTTCAGACATTTTAATAAGGGAGGAGACTAGCCAGAATGAAACTGTTCAGAGCCTCTCCCATTTGGTTAACCCTGAACAAGAATTTCACAGGATTTCCTGCCTGACACAGAGTCCTGGCAGATGACTATCCAGGCTCCATGCCCACAATCTCTGCAGGTGAGGTCATCAGCAAGGATTTCCACACCACTCACGTCTTCATCCAAAACTACTAATGAATTCACACCCGGAAACCTTCAGGGGAAGTGAATGAAACGTGTGGGCTAGAGACCTAGACAGATGACAGCTCGTTTACTGAGGGATTAAGAGCACTTCATCTGATCATAAAAACAAAAACATATTCCCAGCTAAACTAGTTGCTTTTGGAGGGGGGAGACAAAGTCGTCTTGAAAACAGCAAAGTCCTAACATATAGAATTACATCTTGCCGAAAACTGAAGTGGAATACATTTGGGGAGCCTGAAAGTTTGCTCTGGGGAATTATGACAAACCAGTTCCTCCTGGCTGGCAGCCACACCACTGCTCCCGGGCCTGTCCTTCTGTACCCTGCACAGGCCAAGCTGGACAGGTTCTTCCTCCAGAGGCGAGAGGGATCATTCTGTCCACCTGAGACGTTCTTCCACTCACAACTCTGCATCAAGTAGCACCTGGGAACAGGTGCCTGCAGGTAGAAGGTCAAGAGCAGGCTAGATGATTTCAGAGGCTGAGATGGTGGGAGAAATGAAACCAGACGACGAGGGGCAGAGGGTGATATAAAAAGAGGACTCCACAAAGGCTGGCAGAAGGCAGAGCAGAGAAAACGAGAGGAGAATGAAAAATAGGAGCAAATATCAAGCAGAAAGAAACAAGGAAGGAAAAAAGAAGAAAGACTGTGTGGCAAGGTTTTAATAGTAAATACCTGTGGGCATTTTCTAATGCAAAAACAGTGACCTTAACAGTGGACTTTAAGGAAAATTACTGGAAGGCGCAGACATTTTTTTGCATGAAAAAAAAAAACAAACACGTGGTAAAGGAAATAGTTATACCTATAGTTTAAAATGTACATGCTTTTTGCAGTCTGCACATTTTTGCTAAAAGAATCTAAAATATTATGTTTACCACATTTCTTCAAGTGTTCCCCTTGTTTCCATGTGTAGAAAAGAAAAAAAATAATATGCAAGTTTCTAAGTTTAGATTTTGCTATCTAAAATGAAAAATTGTAATTGTACAGGCTCTTTTTTTATTTTTAAAATATATATTTCATGTTGGTAGCTCTGGCTGAGTACAAATGGAATACTTAGTCGAAGCCATACTCCTTTAAAGGTCTCTTCCGACCTTGCTAGAACTTTCTCATTTCTCACTGTCTCGGCCTGGTTTAAATTTTTTATTAAACTATTAATCAATAAGTAGAATTGCAAAGGTAGTTTAAAGAAACACTAACAATTGGCTTCAATTTGGAGTTCTTGAGTTTGTATAATTTATACAATTCACAGAACTGTTCCAATCTTGCCATGGCAGATTCTAGACTCTAAGGAGAACATATAAATGCATGTCAATATCTTCAACATATTAAGTGGATAAAAATTAATCCAAATTAAACAACAGAATTATAGCCCAAGACCACAATTCTGACCTAAGTTAACAAATATTAATATATGTATGTGGGTTATCATGTTATAATAGTTTTAATATTATAATAGTTTTAAATTCATAATTAGATTTTTACAGCTGTAATTGGTATTGAAATTCTTCACCCATGATCTTTGTAATGATATATATTCCATGTCCAAATGATACAGAAATTAAAAATTACCTGAAACTAATAATAAAGAACAGAATAAGATACTTCATGTATGTCTAGTTAGACCCAAAATATATAGTTTTTGAAATTTAGAAAAGGGTAAACTCCCTAAAGTATAGACCCAAAAGTTAATCATTAGACACTCCAACTAAAATTCATGCTGGTATTCTTGACAACTTGCAAGTCTGACATTCTCAGATGACTCTCCTACAAAGGAACTGGGAGGCTTTAAGCAGAGATTCCATTCCTGCACTCAACCAGTTACTGGCGCCATCACAGAATTGTGTCAGGAAATCCATAAACTTTGTGCAATATTCCTTGGCCTTTGACTCCACTAACTGGAACAGGTTATGAGCCAACTACTCAAAGGCCCAAACATAGAGCCCCGATGTTGCCATTTATAGAGTCTGTGTACAGGATAGAGTAGATCCTGTGTAGGCAGCCAGGATTAACAATACCTGTCTCTTGGTCAACCAGATCACCATTTTTTTCTCAGGCCCATAGAGACTTGATATTGTTTATTGTTTCTAGGTAAGATGGGTGCACATTCCTTCTATTTTTCCTCTCCAGCTACGGAAACCAGATAAAAAGGCCCCAAAAGACTGACCAACCAAAAAGGCTCAGAGATGTCCAGTGAAAAATTAGATCAGAAATTTATAATCCAAGATCACTCAGGCTGCATAAAGCACTAATATACATTGAATTACCCATGTGAGCTAAGACCTTCATACTTTACCAGAGTTGACCCACTTGCTGAAAATCAGCTGGTTATACATGCCTCTTGGTGATTCCCCTATTCACCAGCTTCTGTTCTTAAAAGCTCAAGTGGGAAGGAAATGAATTGCAAAGTAAAATTAAACCACAGAATACAATCTCTCTCAGGTCTTTTCTACAGACTTAACACAACCCAAACAGCCTCTGAATTACAAATGAGCTAGAGTTCTTTCATCGTAAATAACATGGGAACAGCAGCTCTTTCAGAGTATGTTTGAAGTTCGTAAACTGAAAAATCTGCCAGGATCCAGAAATCATGTCCTCCACAGCCAGTCCCATTAAGCTCTCTCCAGCTCCGCCTCATCCATGGAGAAAGGTCCTGAGATATCACTCTACCTAAGCTAAGAACTGCCACACAATATCCATCTCAAAGTGCCAGAGACCTGTATAACCAACAATCAGATAAATGAGGTCAAGATGGGGTCATATTTTTAGGGAGGTAGAGTGGTAAAGACAATGGCCCATTTAATAAAATCATATACTTAATTTGAAAATATATCAAGTAACATGCTAGGGACCTCCTAACCATTTGTTCAAAAAATTGATCTCCTCTCTGATCTACTGTTGTTGACCTTAATCCTAACAGGATTATAAATCTTGGATCTCAAGAATCAGCAAGCCTCTCAGCTCTCCTCTCTGCACCACCTCCAGGGAACCTCAAGTCTGCTAAAATGACGGCAAACCCCACAGAGGCAGGCCCGGGCCTGAGGCTTTTCCTCCTCTATGGCCTGCGTCACTCCCTACAGACAGAGCCAAGATTCCTGAATGAACTCAAATTATTTCAATACAGATATGAGGCTGAGAGTACAAACCACAAACAGATAGGTAATTAAATACACAAAAATAAACTGTTGCGCTCTGTACGATTTTAGGAGATAAGCATGCATGACTTCATTGCAGCCAGCTTTGTTAGTTAGCTACCCGTATCTAGACAATTCCTGATTCAGAGTTCTAGTTGGTCCTTCAAAATGCCACTGTATCAAAGGCTTGCCAGGCACCAGAACCTTGTAACTTCTGTTATAATAATTAGCTAGCTAATATCAATAATAGGAAGAGAGCAAAGGGAAGGTCAGACACGATAAGCAAGGTCATCTGGACAGCTTCAGCAGGAAGCTACAACTTTACACTCCCCGGGGAACCACCATTCTATCACCTGCATATCATTGGGG